ATTAATTTTTGAAATTGTAAGGCAATGCATAATGATCAAAGTTTTGGAATACTATTGAGAAATGTATGCAATAAGAGTGTAAAGATTTCAAACAACAGAACTAAGATTGTGCGGATAGGATATCGAATGAAACGAAACTATGTCAAACGCATTGCAATGATTGGAAATTTGAGTTAGGTATTTTATTTGCTAAAACTTGTCAGGGTTCCGTACCTAAAGGGTAAAAAGGAACCCTATTACTAAGACTCCGCTTTCTGTCTGTCTGTCTGTCGGTCGGTTCGTCTGTCAGTTGAGATTTTCACAGATGATGTATTTCTGAACAGAAGAACAAAAAACAGAATAAATAAATATTTCTAGGGGTCTATTATATTTCCCATACAGAAGACATGATCTTTTTTTTTTTTTTTTTGCTGTTTTTATAGAAAATTGTACGGAACCCTTCGTGCGCGAGTCCGACTCGCACTTGGTCAGTTTTTGTTATTAAAACCAAGTTCAACTCCCATTTACATATTTTAAAACTGAAGAGGGACCGCTACCAACGAGAAGATAAGAAATTGTTCTGTCTCTTACAATCTACATATTACTATAACAATCTTAGTTTTGATGCAATGAGATAAGATGAAAAAATCCATTGTAGTTTCAGGGTCATATTAAGATTAGTAGATAGAGACGCTTAAGCGACATGCAAGCACAAAAGCACTAAATATTTGCCTATTTAGCCTAAAAGTTTACTTTTATAACTTATTTGTATATTTATGTCTGGTGAATCTAGGCTATACAAGTCTAATAATAGAAAACTCGTTGGAATAATAATATTTAGGTCGCTTTCTGAACATCCAGGGATTTTTATTGCTTCGTTGATTTCTTTGAATATTTATTAACACCGAACACTTATTTTGACTCCTTGTTGAAAATAAAGTCAGTTATATACTGGCAATGCTTATAACCTATTATATTATATACTACTTTTAAATACGAGGTTAATATGCCACTAGCGCACCGGAACTGAGGCGCTTAAATTACGGCAATTGGTGTAATTAGATTGTTATTCTATAGACTGTTAACTCTTTCCGTATCATACGTTCTATATCATCAATCACATTCAGTTATATATATGATATAATGTAAAGCGGAACATTTTATACATGCCGAACTGTATGGACATGCGTCATCTACATTTTTAAACATTATTGGTTATAACATACAAGCTACATCTTTATCTTTCACTTATATGTAAAATCATTTTACCACGAAATACAAAATCAGGGCTAGTAGGAAAATTCAATATTTAATATTGTGAAAAATTATTTATCACCCAAAAGAATAGCCTTTTTGTTCTTCTTTTCAATAAAACCGTTACATTATTGGGCAGGAACATTTTTCTTGATTTATCTTCATCCGTCTAATACAGAACTTCTGCGTTTTATTTATTTATTCCTTCTTTATTGAAATAATAAATGGATTAAAATTTGTAGAAAAAATCGACGAAAAGCTTATCTGCAAATTTTAATGTTTCGTCTTCAGTGAAGAAATTAGCGCTATAAACTTTTAACATAAAATTTAATTATAAATATATATTCAAAATTCAACCTTATGAATTATAAATTTTGGATACACAATATAGAAGTAATTATAAAACGAATTTTATTTTTTTTAAGTTATCTTGTGTGTATATGAACTTGATTATAGAAATCGTATCGTCCAAAAAATTATTGAATAATCTCGATTATAAAAACTTGTTAATAATAGTTTATCTTGAGTATATTTGACCCAACTTACGTTACCTACGTTTCTGTAAGGTGTTCACCGCTGCCCATGGACACTCGCAACACCGAGCAATGACAAACTTTGTCTATCAGCGATGACACTTTAGTTATGAGTGCTTATGGGAACATTTTTAGGTTCTGCAGCTTTGACTTGAGTGACCATATTCACCTTGAAACTGGCTAAATCACTTTTGGATTTTTTTAAGGAAGATCTCAGGGGGAGGGACAGATGATCCGTGAGTTTGCAATTGTCAATTTTAAATTAAGTGAGCCTTGGTCAGCTCAGTGACAAGGCGAAAAGTCAAAACACTTCAAATACTCATACTTCACGTCTTTTTACTTGTTCTTTTTTCGTATTTCCCGAAAAACCTGCCATTTCGTGCAACAGCGGAAGCTGCTAGAAGCTTTAACTTTAATTAAAAGCTAACAATGAAAAACAAAGTTTTTTTGTAGTTAATCACGTTAGTAAAATAGTTTTTTATGGAAACTAGGACTCGTCGGTATTTAAAATATCAACAGATTTTACTAACCCAGTTAGTGGATTTTCCTTTGTCCTGACCCCACCAATCTTTGTCAAATAATTAAACAACTGAACTTTAACCATAAGGACTTCCACACAATCCTCTTATGTGAACTCTCCTTCAAGGTCTCATGAAAGTTCATGTTCCGAATAGAGGGGATTAATGAAGATACTAAACGAAAGCCGTTCTGATGTAGTTTCGTAACTAATTAATATTAATTAATAAACCAACTAATTACTGTACATTGTATGATTCATAGAAGATCACGCATAAGGCGACACTGATTTAGAATAATCCAAATTTAACAAGTGACTATTAGGTACTTCTATATCAAGAAGTATACTCGAAATCATAATATCAGTTTTACATATATGTATTTGATATTAATAATATATTATAAATAGATCACATTTTTTTTTTTATTATGTGAAAAGTTGCCAAACGAGCAGACGGGTCACCTGATGTTAAGTGAATACCGCCGCCCATGGACATCTGCCACACCCGAGGGATACAGATGCGTTGACAACCTTTTGAAAATTGGGCTCCGGCTACCTCACTCACCACACGAAACGCGAAAGTATTTGTCATACTTCCACTTTACGCTGGTCTTCTGTGAGGTCGTGGTACTTACCCGGACGGGCCTGCCCATTCGTGCAACAGCCGAGGCTGCTGCGTGGCCCTACCACCGTATAATAAATATATGTTGTATAATTAAAAGTAAAGTAACAGCCTATACATACATGTCCCACTGCTGGGCAAAGGCATCCTCTATACAAAGGGTACCAGGGCATATTGCACCACGCCGCCCCGATTGGCGGACTTCATATATATTCGAAATATATATATTTTTATAATTATTTCGAAAATATCCAGGTTTACTCACGATGTTGTCCTTCACTGCGGAGTAGGTATGTGATAAGTCAGCACTTAAAGTTAAAAACTTCATTGGTGCCGGCACCAGGGATCGAACTCAGGTTGCTCGAGTATATGGAATTAAAGGAAAGCGCCCGGACAGTGTGTTATCACGGCTGTATGTATAATTGTTGTATAATTATGAAAATATATTTTACGTCGTACGTTTTCTTCATAGGTTATGTGTATCTAACCTCATGATGTTCTATTTAATAACAACATTTTATGATACACGAAATTCGCTTTGAACTGGAGTAAAGCACTGTTATTTGTATGGAATTTTGTATTGTAATAACAATACGCTCACAGATTCAAGTTAAGCTTGAATAACTCGGCTATAGCTCGGGGTGCAGAATTTAATAAATGTCTACCGTCTCCCCGGTGCCACGCCGCGGCTGGTGCTTTTTATTATAATTTGAAATAAATTTGCAAAAAAGCGCACGGGAAATAAGTTTCTTTTAAAGATTTTTATAAAGCTTCAGTTTAACCAGTATGTCGTGTTATAAATCTATTATTGCTCTTTTTTAAATTTGAACAGTAGAACCATTGGGTTCTACGGTTGGTAATTTTATAGAATAGTGTAATAAACGCCTCTACTAAAATTCCTCTTAGAAAGTAGAAAGAAGGATCGGGATGTAATGTTGAAAAATGAAATAAAAAAATAGCTTAATAAGTTAATGTATTCGGTGTCTACATGGTATTGATTTGATAAAGATCTGTGCGGCTTATAAATGTTGGAATAAGAGACATCGCTAAAGCAGATATCGGCTAGATTAAAAAAACTTTTTAAAGAATTGCTAATAGAAGCTGGTTTAATGTTCTATATAAAATAAATATTCAATAATAATGAAATGTACACTCCGGTTATTTATAAGCTTAGTTCGTTCATAAAACATTTATTTAAAATTGGAAGTCGTGTACAATATGGCACTTCGTTCCGAAACTAATTAATGAAGTTTATTATAAAAAATCTTATAACTACTTACATAAATATTTATAAAAGTTAACAGAAATAAAGAAATACTGGTTATATCGGTTCAAATCTCTTCTAAATTAACTTGCTCAGAAGTAATTTTCTTTTGAAAAAGTACCTATATTGATATAAAAATTTCTGCGTATTCTCTTCAGGTCTAATGAAATAACAATCTATGGTTAAAGAAAAATCAACATAGAGACGGAATATACTATGTATTATAATTTTAAAATCATTAGCAATATTTAATCTGTTTATTATTTTCTACCACATTATACAAGTTATAGAATTAAAAAAGTTAGTAGACTGTAAAAGTTTTCTAATCTTTACGAATGAAAATAATACTGTATAAAATAGAAAGTATGAAAAAATCAAATTATTCAATTAAATTGCAAGTAACTTGAATAGAGCACTTCGTTTGACGGCAACTTCATAATAACTTAAAAATCGGTCTTCGCTTCAGTGGCGGATTTGTAGATTTGGCCGCCCTAGGCCCCAGCTCATGTAGTAAGGTCCAGCCGCCCCTTTCTCAGCGCCCATTGCATAACTTATTATCATCACTATCATCAGTGAGATTTTGTCACGATTGGCCGCTCCCGATATGTGGCCGCCATAGGCCCGGGTCTATTACGCCTTATGGCAAATCCGCCACTGCTTCGCTTGCATTCGGAATAACGTAATGTATCTAAATTCACTACACGTTTGTATTAAGGTACGCTAACAGAGTACGACATCACATAAACTATACCTGCTACGGCTACGATCACCTCGCTCTACGATACGACCGCGGAACTACACTACGGCATGCACATTGATAGCGCGATTCTAATGGAGCGCATCGGTGCCCTCCGCGTTGTCGACGGCGCGGCACGCGTTGCAGCAGTACTTCCTGAACGGGGGCACGACACAGTTCCGTTCCAGCTGGTCACGCGTGAACAGCTCGCAGTACTGGGTGCCGTCGGTGGCGGGGCACGTAGTGTGCGGGCGCGCCGACGGCGGGCAGTGGCGCGTGCGGCAGCGGCGGCGCCGCTCGCGGGGCTTTGGCCCGCAGAGCCGCTCGTCCGCCGCCGGGCACACCAGCGGCCGATGGGACACCCCGCGGCCACAAGTCGTCGAACACTTGAACGGTGAATTTGAGACATCAGGTCGTATAGCTTATAGCTCTATACACAACGTGTTATTGAACAGCCCGCTCAGTGTGGATTGGGGACTTTGTTTATGTGAAGATTTGTGCAAGGCACTCAGGTTCCTCGAATTGTAGTTTATAAGCGAGCGCCCTGACAATGCGGCTTCGGCGAAAACTCGAATATGAAGTTTTCTTGCAGAATGATATTTTGGATGCAATGCAGAAGGCTTACAATCGTACTTCTAGCACAATAACAATGTATATGCAATAGAAATATATATGGTTAAAGATGTATAGGTTAGCAAAATACATTTAGACATGCAATATCTTTACCGGAGTCCAGGGCATCTCTTGCCAATAGACGGGGCAAGGCAGACGATTACATGGCTGCTGTTTTTCTGGTTTTGTTGGCGGGCAAAGAGCTGGTGACACGCTGCGTCTTATCAGCTCCCTTTTTGAGACCACACTGCAAAATAAAGTCAATCTTAACTAACGTGTAGCCATAAATATTCGATAGCGATAAGACATTAACGACCTTAAAATAGTAGATATATATATATATATCACACTTTCACCATGTCGACTGTACCTATGACAATCAAACGATTGTGGTTCATTTTAATAATGTAAAACTGTTCTTTAACTTAAGAAAAAAATGGATCAGCCCTGCTCTAGAAACCTGACAATGAAAATGTATTAGTTCTGCATTGAATATCAAAGCGACATAACGAATACCTCACGTTAGCTGGTACACAGAACAGCTGTCTCTCTTGCACACCCTCCTCGCCGCATGTAGCACTGCACTCTTCCCATTCGCCGGGGGCCCAGGTGAATTCGCAACTATAACGAGCAGCAATTAGTGTTGCAATTTTCCTAAAACGCGCGCAACAATAGCTTACAAATGCGGTATGGCAGTCCGTGAGTTATTTACGAATATGCAAATTCATCACGGACTACGTGGCGTTTTATACATTTGGTACGTAATAATGTGTGCAAATAAACAATTGACATTCCAGTAACTTTTACCTTTTTAAATAATGAACATATTTTTAAGTTAATAAAAGGAATAGAAAATAAAGGTGGGACTTTAGATGAGCAACGTAAATTTTTCGTTTTTCTTTAGTTTTCACGTCGCTTTTAATTTATATAAAAGTAAAAATATACATATGTAAATAGACATAACTCAACAATTACATCACTATCCCATATTATCTATGGACGTCCATTATAATTTTTATTTTCTAAAATCTGTACATATTTACTTTACTTCTCCTCTTTTGTCCTAAGGGCATATCTCAAGTTGGGTGAAAAATTTAAATGAAGATTTTTGTTATAGAATATAATTTCATAGATCCGATAACAGCTGCAGCTATTGTAGTTATTATAACAATATTTATCGTTAATCATGAAAAATAATCAAATTAATATAAATAATCTAATTACCAAATTACCAAATCTGAGTTATATATAATTCACTTTCAATATTCAGACATACAACATATATTTACACACATACATTTGTGTATGTAAACAATTGAAAGTAATTCAGTAGACCGCACAACTTTGCCCCAAAATGTAATTCTGAACAGCAAGTCGTAAACATTAACGAATGACCATTATCCTAGCAATTAGTTAAAGACTATGCTAATAAAATAGATTAAGTAGCAAATGCGTCCATTACTACCTCGTTAATTACACCGTTAAAGAAGTTACTCCACGCACTAAGATCCTTTTTGTTCTAATCGTACACATTTACGAATGCAATATTATAATTTAGTAAAAATTCTTTTACTAACAAAATTAAAAAATACTATCAACACATAAAATGCCATCAGCAAGATAAAATGACTTAGATGACCTTGAGGATTACAAAGTTAAGTGGGAATACCAATGATATAATACCAGGGATTCCAAAGTTGGTAAGGATGTGGGGACGCTAAAATCCGTTGCCTGGTGGTAGATTGAGTTGTACAAGGAATAGGAACACCTTGCAGAATTTTAAAATTTTACTAAGTACATCATAATGCAAGACATGTCACAATGACAGGTGAGTTAATACATAAGACGCTGTTGTAGGACGTAACAGTTTCTGCTGTTGTACCTCTGAGTAGGCCGGGGAAGTACTGAGACTTCACAAAACGGGCGTGAATGAACTTCCACCTTTTCTCTGGTGAGTTAGGTAACGGGGGCCCACATTATAAAAGGCTGGCAACGCATCTGCAACCCCTCAGGTGATGAAGATGTTCATAGGCTGCAGTATTCACTTAACACCAGGAAACACCTGCTGCTTGTCAACTTTTTACTTAAAAAACAGGACATAGATTTTCATATTTTGTAAAACTAATGCCCTATGTTTTATGAACTGTATAATAACTCTACCTTACAGTTCATAACTCTTCCTAACATACTCTACCTTATATAGGGCATTTCACATCTTACAGTTCATAATACATGCGACTAATGATTGCATCAATATGTATGTCTATTAATTCATAATACAATACCCGTGCGTATTGCAATGTTCGTATCGCGTCGGAGTGCAGTGCTGGTCACGAGGGCACCGCTGCCTTACGACTCGCAATCCCCCACCGCAGGAAACGGAGCACGGACCACGCTCGGTAGACCATCTGCAATAAATTAAGCTAACATTACAAGATGTTCATCATTAGCATGCGTTCCAGGAAAACAAATATAAGTTGTGACATTACCACTGTGTTAATATTGTAAAGAGACGTACTTTAACTGCTTGTATTATAAATAATAATCCAAAAATGGTTTCATGGCATTTCTGTGTGAGGCTAATGTAGCTTTGCTTTATTTATAAATCTATTCAGAATAATGTGCAGTATGCTATATTCAGTACTACTCTTCCTAATATGAGAGTTGAAACCACGCTTATATCATTTGCGGTAAACTTTTTTTAAATGTTTCGCAAGTTACTGAGATTCAATGTTAGATAACATTTTTAAATCAAAACCAATTAGTCTTGAAACGATATTCTATATTATAAAACTTATACACGGAAAGTATATGTATCTAAAGACAAACTTTTGATGTTATTTTTAACGTATGGTGTGTTTTATGCGGGCAGCGGTATGGCAGTGAGCCAATTTGTTTGAGCAGTATATTTTACGAGATGCGGGCAAAACCGCGATGCTAGAGGTCTTTTAAATTAAAGCGATAAACGCAGTAGTAAAGCTACGTAACGCAATGTCTAATCTTATGGAACATTCGTACAATTTCTTTTTCATAGTCCCAACTTTTTGTATACTTACCTATATACATCAACTCTGTTGTCTGGTGTGGTGATATGACATGACGTATACCTCTCTACTCTTAGTTAGAAATTAGGACAATTTGTGTTCGTCGCCTTTACAACACAGTATAATACTAATCATAAGTTGGAAATATGTAAATAAAGATGTTAATATTAGCACAACGCTTATTCTAATTATATCATTTCAACAACGTGCACCGAGACGCTTATAAAAATATAAAAGTAAACATTTTATGCGTCATGCGTTATTTTTTCCTTAAAGAAGACATATCATCATATCAGCTATAGGACGTCCACTGCTTAACATAAGCCTCCCCTATTGACTTCCACTTTTACCGGTCGGTAGCGACCTGCATCTAAAAGGAAGACACACAACAGTTGATTTTGTTGAATGAATGGGCAGGCTCGCCCGCGAAAGTACCATTTCTCGCGTAAAACCGGCGAAAGTAGAAGTATTTTTACTTTGGCATTTCGTCTGGGAGGTAAGGTAACTTAATGAAGGTTGCAACGCAAATGCACGTTGCGGAATTTTTTAATGTGAAAGGTTGCCAAGCGAGCAGACGGTTCACCTGATGTTAATTGAATACCGCCGCCCGTGGACATCTGCTACACCCGAGGGTGCCAGACGCGTTGACAACCTTTTGAAAATTGGGCTCCGGCCACCTCACTCACAAGACGAAACGCGAAAATGTTATACTTCCACTTTATACCTTCACGCCAGTCTTATGTGAGGTCGTGGTACTAACACGGACGAGTCTGCCCATTCGTGCAACAGCCGAGGCTGCTGGGTGGCCCTACCACCGTTTAAAAAAGAATGTCACATAAAAAAAAATAAACACCTAAATCTAATGTCGTTAGGGTTGTTGCTCCAAACGACTAGTCAACACATATATTATTTAATTTTTAGATTATTACATTAAATTATTAATAGGCACAGATGTTACTTAAAAGATGTCGGTGAGGATCGGCGATTAAAATAACTTACAGTATTACATACAGATAAAATACAAATAAGATATTTTATATTAACAAAAGAGATAATCGACTTGAAACAACTCACTCAATAGAATTTTTTGGTGTCTCCCTGATGTATCTCTGTAGTCCAAGTTGCAATGCCAATGAATTTAATATGGGACGGAAGTTAAACCGCTTAACCCAATGCAAAAAGAATTTTATCGATCCGTTCCGATTAACGGAATTCTGAGGCAATACAAACGAATTGCGAAACTCCACCTTTTTTGTAGTCGGTTGAAAATAAACTCATTCTTGGATTCGTACCTATATTCCATAGGACGCGCCCTTGCAGCCGGTGTACTGTAGTTCACTGATACTTCCACTGTTAATGACTCTTCGCTTATTGCTTGACGTTCCGGAACAGCCTGATAAAGCAAATGCATTGTTTCAACGAAAGATATACCCGAAAATACAAAATACTTCACATTTGCACTATGGGCAGAAATCGAATGGATTGGACTGGGTACAAAAATCTAATAGAACGTCAAATTCTATTTCCCGCGATAACCTTTTGCAAATGTTAGAACTTTTTAGTGGTTTATGACAGAGGCGTGTTTTTTAACTTTAGCAATAATCAAGGGCGGAACAAAACGATTAATGTTCCGCTTCGTTGTAATGAATTCGGAACAAACTTCGGTGTGAGCGTCACTGAATAATTAAACCTGTCTACGCGTCCCAACCCTCGTCATCAAACGATCCGCTTCGTTAAGCATTTAGTAGTTGGATCCCTTTGTCGAAGTAAGACGCTTATTTTTCAGGGGATTTAAACTTGAAAAGTTAAGGGAGTGCCTCTTGAGGCAATAAAGTTTTTAAGACTGAACATTTTCTTTTACGTTATCAGTATTGATTTTCATGTTGTCGAAGGTTTTTAAAGCAATTGTTGGAAGGTTCAATCGTGTATTATGTAACTTCTGTGTTTATATTTTATTTTAAGGATTTTTCTATTATAGTTCTGTTCGTTTAATCAAGACGCACGTAAAAAGTCATTTGCCTTTTAACTGCACGTCATGTTTTCACAGAAGGTTGGGTAATTATTTACAGCTCAAATAATGGCATGTTTTCTTTTGAGCATTATTTTATTCATTCCTTTAACCTGCAAAGAACGCGAAGCAATTGAAAATTGATTTAGATGAATTGAAAACCTGTCAATTCCATGTCATTTTCATGCGCCAGGAGAAACTGTAATGTTTAGTTGTGAAAGATATTTATAAAAAAAGTAAAATCAAAATGTGTGCCCCAAAACCAAGTATTTAACATTTGTTTCGATTACATAATTATTCTATCTCCATACGCTAAGTTGTGAAACGTATTGTACATACATTGTTTTTAACATCATATTAGCCCTGTTTTTTCACTCTTTCAAACAGGTTTTGTGATCCAAGTACACAGAACTATTAAAGCAAAAAAAAATTACCAACATAATTAACTCTCACGTCGTGAAAATTTACTCCTTCAAAAAAGTAAAGCAACAGCCTCTACATGTCCCACTGCTGGGCAAAGGTTTCTTCACTATGTTTTCCTTCACCGCAGAACACGTGATAAGTCAGCACTTAAAATTAACAATTTCATTGGTACCGGCATCGAACTCATGTTGCTCGAGTGAATTGAATTAAAAGCGAGCGCCCTGACAATGAGCTATCACGGTTCATTTACTTACATATAAAAAAAATATTAATAAATTAACTAATAATACGTTTTTGGTAAATCATTTATTGTTTCAAGCATGTTTTGAAACTCATTTCCACTCACCATAATCATCAAGTCGGTCTGAAGCCGAGAGTCGGATGTTATGAACACATCAGTATCGGTCTGCTTCCACCGCACCTGGCTCCCCGCGGCCACAACCTCCCCCTCCCAGCCGTAGTGTTCGCCCTCTTTGATGTTTATTATGTTGCTGTCCACTTCAACTATTTGCAGGTTCTGAGGTACGTTCGGGTCGTACTTCAAGTACTTGTCCTGCCCGTTCTCCAGTTCGAAGCGCTTGGAGTGATGCCTCGTCAGCTCGAGGATGGGTCTGTTCTTCTTGCGCTCCTTGATGGCTATGTTAAGGGCGATCGGCGTTGACACGTGGACGGACAGGAAGCGGGCCTCGTGTGGTATTACCGTCAAACGAGTCCATCCTACACGGAAAGAAATATGGTTAGACTGATGGAAAAACTTCGCAAATGCTCAAAACTTGGCAGGCTGGAAATAAATTCGATACCGGAATTGAGATACAACACTCAAAGCGTAAAATAAATGAAAATTGATATATATATGCACTTTCTTTGTTTAATGCATAATATTCATTGAGTTAACATAATTTAAAAAGTTCTTACTTAATCTCAATACTAATTTTCATTCCATAAAACTAAAATAAAAATGGTACAAATTATATATAGTAAGTAAAGTAAAGTAAAGTATCAGCCTATACATGTCCCACTGCTGGGCAAAGGCCTCCTCTGTACAGAGGGTGTCAGGATATAGTCAATTATTAGTCATATAAAAGAGACAATCATCATCATCGTTATTTAAGGGAGTCTGAGTCATTGCGGAACATAGGCCTCACCCACTATTTTTCGATTTCTCAAATAAAGCAAAAAAATTTAATGTAACCTTTTCCAAGTTGGCGTGAATAAATGTGCGTGTTGTTGTTACAATATCCGTCAGGACACCAGTTACAGCCAGGGTCAGTAGTATTGCATTGTCCTTTCACGCACGTTCCCTGGAACACAAACTTGGAATCAAATTCAAAGGCATCAGATAACAATCAGGAAGAACAATGGATTTTTGAGATAACTACTAAAAATTTCTTTTATTGACCACATTGATTTATATTTACGTCCTGATTCCCTTTTATAGCTTCCCTTCATATTAAAAGGAATCTCAAAACTATATCGCAGCTTCATAAATATATAGGTCATTATAAACTGAGATTTACTGCAAGTAACAGTGAAATATTCTTCAAATGGCAAATATTTCTGACCTATGTTAAGGAATAAACAGGTTTGAATCATGACGGTACATAAAGATTCCAACTCGAATACACATTACACATGCGGCTGCAAAGTTTTGCTTTGAAAATTTACGGATATTTTATACCAAAAACAAAACGTGCGTCAGTACCTGCGAACAAAGGTCAAAGGGCCGTTGGTAGCTGCAAGGCGATCCATCAGGGAGAGTTCCAAACTTAGAAGGCTCGCCCCCAGCGTAGTCCACGCACCATGATTCGCAGCTATTTTTCTCTATACACAAATTGAATTAACAAATTACAATGTAATACTATAACAAGTCAATAAATGAAGCAGTTTACGAATTAATCAAGGACTGGAATATCTTTGACAAACAAATGGTATAATTATCTTCCGAACAAGTCCATATTACAGTGACTAAATTCGAATCATGACGGACATAATAAAAGAAGCACGAACGCGATCATTTCTGAATTCCTTCACCGATTAAAATCAACCTTTAAATTAGGCCCTCGAGTGCGCACAACATGTTCGGGCGGTCGTTTATTTTCATTTTCTCCATCCTTCGTCCGCTCATTCGCCGCGGTGTCATGTTCGTAACGGACAGCCGTCAGTCATCGTTGCGGGGGCAGAAAAGGAGCAAAGTGCAGCAGCGCATTAGTACCGTCCGGGTGCACGTGCGGAATGAGATGGCTGGCCTGCCGCACGCAAATGTCCGCGCGGATGTCTCGGGTCGCCGCGCATGCCGAACCCTTCCAGCAGACCGACACTTGGGTGCCGGCGCCCTCGCAGGCGTCCGATGACGACCTGAAATTTCGGTGCTTTAATAATTCGAGCACATGGCATTTAAAGACAGCGGTGTACTAATGCAGTCTGCTTCTGTAACTGTTTTAGTAATCTTCAATACCATTAGTTTCATAATGCCATTTTTTTATGTGACGGGTGCATTGTTATTTTATGCTATTTTTTACTATAACTCGATAATATCGGGAATCTGATTACACTCGGTTACTTAAATACACTTAGTTCTTCTTTTTACTTATGCAAATAGAAGTAATTTCCTAAAAAATATGAGTTCGATCACAGAGTACTTCATATACGTTTAAAAGTAGACTTTACGTACCGAGGTATATCGTATTTATAACAAGCTAGTAAAGTTATTTAGAAGCAATCGCTCAAAAGCCAACCAAGCCAAGTCTATCCGTTTACGTCGCTAAATTGCTCTCTGCAACTCTAAAGGGATTTGATAGATGGCCTAAATATCTATATATGACGATGACCTAAATACCTTTCTAGGCTGCATTTACTTTTTAACACAACATTTTCATCTATGACATTGTAGGCTGAGACTCGATCAGCTATAAGAGTTATCTAAGTAATTATTGCTAGTTCCAATTCAAATTGTATTCCATCACACTAAAATTAGAAATGAAAATCTGATTTCATAGTGGTTATACCATAATCACACACCGAAACAGATGAACGGATTCAAAAATGCATTGAGACTTCATTTCATCGAAATAATCATGAGATTGAATCCCAGAGTAAAGCTAATTTATTACACAATGTAGCTATTTTTCTGCGTGTCATCAGATAGTAAGTTTTGCACTTATCTTGTAGAAAGGACAAAAAAACTTAAATTAAAACATCCTTACCCCTTGTAACGACATTGCCTGGTACGCGTGCGCAGACCATATCCGCAATCGGCGCTGCACTCGCTCCAAGCACCCCACTCCTCCCACTCGGGTGAGCTTGGACCCTTGTCAGCTTCCCCCACTTTATTCTCAGCCCCATGGCCCGGCATGAATTCGCAGACGCGATCCACGCACCACTGCAGTAGACAAATTTGACGAAACGAACTAAGTTAAAAATAACTTTACTTAACATCACGAGCTAATTATAAAGAGCCTAATTTCGTTAGGCCTGGTAACTGTTTAGATTAGCATTGTTCATTGTGACATTCGTGGGTCTTTAATAGTTCATACCACATTATCTTAGAATTTGGAATGTTTTGTATTCAATGGTTATTACTTTGTAATGATTTTAGTGACACCTCAGAATGGAACTGTGGTAGGACCATGCAAAAGTTTACCCTGTTGCACGAATGGGCAGATCCGTCCTGCCTATTCGTGACACTTACCACGACGACACGAAGAACAGCGTGAAGTGGAACTGTTAGACTTCTGCGTTTCGTCGGTTCTACGAACCCGGACTCATTTTATTAACCCCCGGGAGTTGCAAATATTAATGGGCGGCGGTTATCACTTAACATCAGGCGAATCGCCTGCTCAATTTTCACCTTTTCTCATAAAAAAAAGAAAAATGAACTCTATTGGTGTTCTCCGCTCATTTATACTCGTATCATCTAATGAAGCTATAGAAAAACAACTGTCATAAGCTATGCTTACAAACATCAAACATAAAGTTCATTGCACATGACCATATAATAAATTTTAATCGTGTTACGTGAATAAAATCCTAAATGAAAACCGATCAATGAGAATATTTAATCTCCCTTCACGTGCAAAAGGAATTTACGTGCCACGGGTGGTCATAAAAGAGTGGGCCCTTTGTTTTGCCAGGCGTAAGATCGGATATAGCATTTCTCAGTGAATTGTAACCTTACACCTACTAAGAGCGGCAGCGAAACCGCTGGACATTGGTGAATGGAATCATTTTACGATCGTATAAAACATAAGCATTATTGAAATCTTATAATTCAAATATGATTTCCTGCCCTTCAGAAAAAAAGACGTAGTTCCTTTTTTATGTTTACTTTATTGTTTGTTCATACACGATGAAATGGTTTCATCAATCATTCCCCTGCTATACATTATTTTTGTACTGTCTTACTCATAGGATGCAACATATCATAAAATATAAACATTAGTAAGTGAATTCTTTGATATATATGTAAGTGCACTTGACTGAGTTCCCATATCTTACCGCTTATGCACTGCAGTACAAATATCTTAGCAATATATTTGATTTTAGTATTAACGACAAAATATGTATTCATTAAAATATTAATTCTAAAATATCATATATTTAGCCCCGAGACTTTTTAGTCCAAGTAGTAAGGTGCCGGTAATTTAACTTAGAGTCTCGAAACTTAGTTATTTCACGGACTACTTTTCCAAAAAAAAAACTATTTATTTTTACCTTCCAGCTTCCAGTTTACTAGCATAGTGAAGATATTTTCAAAGTTAAAGTAATATTTCTTATTCTTAGTTTGAGCTCTTATGAACGTCGGAAACTATCATCGGTTCACTGTGACTAACTTTAGACAAGTCCAGACAAGAACCGGACAAACTTCTGCTAAGAAAATCTATAATCAGTCTTTTCCACCAGTTTTCTATAAAATAAACTTGAAGTCAGTAGTGGTCAGAGAACGTTCATTCCTGCAAGACTGCGAGAGTCCCTTTCAAACAATTGTCGTTTTTGTAAGTTTCTTACCATAACTTGCTTTTCACATTTTACCAAGTAATTAATAGACAATTTACCACCGGGATCGGTTTACTTTCATCGTGCATGCACTTTGCGATATCACGAATAAACATGTCGGGTGGTATATCCACAACCACACAGCACTCAGCATTGTCCGCTCCCCGTGTTTGCGCTAAAAATCTCACTCGTTTTTACCCAACGAACTCAACTCCGAGCGGCCGCTCCTCGAAGCGCATTCGAAAAGGATTTCCATTCAATTATTCACACACACGCACGAGTGCAGCGACTGCGAATGGACCATATCCCGAATGGATGTCACGTCGTTCGCGCGTGATTGCATCAGCGTAAGTTTCGCTCGCGTGTTTAATGCATCGCTGGCGACGTGTACTATTCTCTGTATCTTGTCTAGCTTATTGTTCAAGCTCTGTTAGTATGAGTATTTGAGCTTTCGGCTCGATCGCCACGGGTCGCCGGTTCGGTTCTCGTACGGAACAAGAAATTTCGTGGTGACTTACGAACTTTTAAACTCAACCTTATGCACTTTGGGCTCACGGTTGCTAATCAAAAGTTAAAATTAAAATGCATCGTGTAACAGAATAAATGGAAGTATCTAGTTAATTCTCTAACCGTACTTTTACTGTATCGGTATTCACTGGCCCCTAAGATTGGCAAGTTGAGGTTGTTACGTAATTTTCCAATGAAATGAAGTAGCGAAGTCCCAAAAGCTAGCATCGATGTATCTAATGCCGCAGGGCATTAGTTACATCGATGGACTAAAAAGAATCAGCCACGTTTGCAATTAGTTTAGTATTTTATACTACTCGTAAATATGTTTATATAAACGTATTTATTTAATAACGACAAACTAATGTACATGTAAAATGCAATGGATACTAACAATAATATCGGAATAAATGTTGTCTCAAAAAAGAAAATAGTGTGCGTCACTTTGTCAATAGTGTTAAGTCAATGCCCGCGGTTTTGTTCGATGCGACTTCGCTTGTGTTAAGAGACTGTCAAAAATTACATAATTATCTGTGAACAGATATTATGCTTATTTTGATAAAATTTGAGTTAGTACACATTAGTAAAACTACGAAAGAAAATCGTGGTTTTCCTAAATTTTGAAAATGTGTTAGGAAACATTTCTGTGATCTTCAAAATGCATTCATTGCATGCACTGTCTTTAAATTGCAAAAAAAATCTTGCAACATTTTAAACTTTTTATACCACGTATATCTTTGTGGTGGCCGTTGATTATGAACGTGTATTATTTGTTACAAGGTACTTTATGACAGTTAGTTAAACAGCCCAAATGCAAAAATACTTTTTCGAATGCACTATGTACGAATCAAGTTATCGAGTAAAATGGAACATAAATTACGCATCACATCACGAGATGCTGATCGAATACTGTTTTGGATAAGGCAGACTACGTCCGTCAGTTGTGGAATAGCCATAACTTTGAAACGTTTTAAAAAATAATCCACTCATCCCATTGGGATCCGCCGGATGGCCTGTTCACTCAAATTGTGCGGACCTGGGATAATGATGCTTGGCATCTTTTATGTAAGAATTCATGTTTTGCATTTAAGTGACGATAACGATACCCTTAAGATGCAGGGCAATTCTACCGTTACCAGCAGATGACAAATTATGCATAAAATTATTTTCAATTTCACCCATAAATAGTGGGCTGTTGAGTCTACATTTGTTTCTATAGGAAAAGATAAAGGATCAGGCGATTTGTCTGATGCTAATAAAACTGCTAATAAAAATACTCAACATCGTAAGACTACATATTGCGTAAGATTGGTGGCGGATAGGAGGTTTAAACTCGTTGCCACCCCTTAGGAAGATTACCGTACTCTACTGGCGTTTACGGTATCAATTATAAAATTATACTTTACGCCGTTCCTATGAGAGGCCTTAATTTCCTGGAAGAACCGGCCCATTCGAGAACAACAGTTTGCAGTCCCGAATACCACGCTGGTTATTGAAATTAATGCAGACATATTGTTACAAAATTACATTATTCATTTATATATTTCAACAAATTATGGTAATACCTAGAAAGAATAAAATAAATCTAAAAATTGAGAGTCAAAATCACACTTACACGTAGACTTGTTCGTGCTAGTGTAGAACTCGTTAAAACAAACTTTAACTACAAACCGAGGCAAAAAATCTCTGGTGTTTGTTATATTCATATCTGTACAACAGTAGCGAGATAACTGCCTCCCAGCAGACAAACCAGTTCAACGACGCAACTCGTATATTCCTGTGAATTCCCGAGTAATACGTCGATTACAATCAATTCCGAGTGCCCCATGTTTTTATTCAACTCAATGGGACATTAAACTTGTCCGAGAAAACGATTGACCGTAGGTTACACAAATGAAAACGTATTTGCCATACCAGTCTAATATTTACGCAGTAAACATTATCAGTTGTTGACAAAATTACAATTAAATAAATACCTTAAAGCTTCCTAAGAGCTGACTTGAATATAATAGTGTATTTATCAGAAATTTGATTTTTTTTATTTGTAATAACATGTATCACGTTTGTTTCTTCCGTTTTTAGAAAGATAAAAATTATCATAGTAAAATTAATCTTCATAAAATTATTAAAAATCATCTGGTAACGTTATATTCATGAAGCAACGGCAAACCAATGACTAAAAATAGAATGGCAGGAATTTCGTAATATGATTCAAATTGTTTGAGATTATCAGAGAATTGTTAGAAAATTGGATCAAATTTGGTTCGATATATAACCAACTTTCAGTAGAAATTTTTAATAATAGTTTTATAATAATAAATCTAAAATACAGCCCAAAATATTCCCACAGCGGCGACAATCTTTTCGTACTTTTTCTACATATTTTAATGTTCAATCTTAAGTGCAAAGGTTAGCACTATAAACAATTTAAATTTCTAAAAGGCAATGGCGACATCTCTCGTTCGAGTTATCGTTGTAAAACGATATTCGAAATTGTTTGTATGCTGGAAAGGATATAACAATGGATGCGCCAAGCATTGCTTCAAATGCTAAAAAACAATGTAGAAAAAGACGTTAAGATTTTCGTCAGTGTGGCAATCAGCCGTTTAGCTTAGTGGCTAGAGCGTCAAGTCGCGAATGCCGAAGATATGGCTTCGATTCCCACGGCGGCGACAATCTTTTCGTACTTTTTCTACATATTTTATATTTTTTCCCAAAATATGTCATAAACACGATTAACTATCGTAGTTATATATCAGAGTTATACATCTTTTTCATCATTTCTTGTATCTATGCGAACACCACATATAATTAAATAAAGCATTGTACAGATTTTATTGCGTTAAAATTTTATTTTTACTTCCTCATTTAAGTATGTTATCGTAACCATAGACTCTGTATTATTCATAATTAGACGGGATAAAATCCGTTAACAATAAAAATAAAAGGTTGCGTGTCATGAGTACTTGGAAAATTTTTACACCAAAAACATATTAATTTAAAATACTTCGTCGTATTGAAAGAACCAATATTTTTTTAAAGCATGTATTATTGCAGACATTTTAAACGCTTTTATTCCTTGAGTTGTTCTAACTGAATCTGTAAATGCAAACTATTTCTACGGTATGGCGTTCTAGCGTGGAAATATCTATGATTCTTAAGTGGCAGGATTTAGAAAAGGGCACGTACGTACGTACACGAATATCTTCCTGAGGTAAAGCAGTATTTGGAAGTTTTATGTTTAAATCCAATATTTATTTTGGTAGAGATTATATTCATCGTGAAAATGATAATTTGAAACAAAATTAAAACCTCCATATATTAAAGTTACTCAAAACAAATAGGTACCTACAATCATAAACAAGACTGTGTAATAGCTATACTTAGCAATAAGTTTCAAAAAGGCCAATATATTGTCTGAACAGTACATTTGTTTTCACTATCATAACATTTTTTCAATTTGGCCACTATCATGTCTTTAATACCATCAGCAAGATTAAAACAATTCAAACATCAGAATCGGCCCACGTATTTGATCTCTAGAGCACTGGAAGGGAAAAGAAATATATATATAGACTGCCGAAAACATTATCCTCCTTTACGTATCGGAGGTAGGTAAAATCATGTTCTATCTATCATGTTACGTGATCGAATTACATTTCATATAGGGAAGAATGAAGTGTATTGTTAAAGCTAGAGGTTTTCACCTACACTAAAAGTTACAAAACACTCAAAGCTTGAAATTTGATTGCGAAAGGCAGAAGAAGGCAAATCTGTCCTTGATCTCCACCAATACAATTTGAGCACCACCGTATCTCAATGACAAAAACAGGCCTAATTACAATCAGTGAAACAACTGAAGATGGGTAAATTGTAAACCAATGTCCTTACTTGCGGTTCTAACCTACTTTGTTGATGGATTATCCAGCATTTTCAACAATTAAGCCTCTTGGATCCAAGTTATTAGTGCGCGCAGTGGCGGATTAGCCCTACGGGCCAATAGGCCCGGGCCTGGGGTAGCCACATAATAGGGGAGCCCAATCGTGACAAAAAATTCACTGTTGATAACAAGATATATCCGGTCCCGGAAAGCGGCGGCTGGAACTTACTACGTGGCTGAGAACTTACTTAGAAGAACTAACTACATACCGACTAGAGGCTCTGGCCTAGGGCGGACAAGACCATAAATCCGCCACTGAATGCGCGCTAGTTTTAGATGCTACTCACACGATTGGTGCCGCAAGGCGTGCCCTCCAGCGGTGGGGCTCTCTTCGAACGGCACACGTGCGGCATGCCCCGGTGGGCACACCACAGCCTCGCGCACACCGACCGCACCTTCACCGTCTTGCATACCGAAAACCTGAAATGAAAACGCAACCTTGTCATCCGAATCATGCCGTTTAAGCAGCACCGATAGTTGAGACAGATTCAGAGCTTTACGCTCTAATGGATAAACAGAGAAGAAATTAAACATTTTAACATAAATTGAAAGAAGGGATATTGTTTGAACGGATAACGTTAGATTCAATTAAAAATCCTGAAATGAATTAATGATATAGATATGATACTATATTAGGAAAAGAATGTAATAAATAGATACAATAGATAAAGGAATACATAAAATGAGAATAAATAACACATAATACGAGAAAATGTATTGCACTCAGAACTTACCCAATTGAGCATTCCTATATGCGCTAGAACGATGAACATAAAATTACTTCGCTTATGACTACGCATCCTAGTGGGAATCATATTTATCGATTTTTTTTTTATGTGAGAAGGTGGCGGTTCACCTGATGTTAAATGATAATCGCGGATCGTCGCTCATTGACATTGGATTGCAGTATTGCCATCTTTTAATAAAATTGGCCCTGGCTACCTCGCTAACCAAAATAAAGATAAACGCAAAAGTGTAACACTTCTACTTCACGCCGGCCTTCTTTGAGGACGTGGTACTTACCTGGACGGACTTGCCCTGTTGAGTAGCCCTACCACAGTTTATAATAATTTAAATCAATATTAAAGTGACATTATTACGAAACGTCAATAAATTAATTACCTTGTTCCTGGAGTTTGTGCCCTCAAAAATTTTATCTGAACCTTATAAAAACAAATATGCAATAAAATTCCATTAAATTATCGTATACACAAAGAGGCACTACGAAAAACTGCCGCCAATTATTTCCGACAGCTTCGATCGAGCCATCCCGTATGATCTCAGATAACGATCTATGTCCATTGTTCGAGATAATTAGACCCAAATTATGTGCTTGAAATGGGCCTGACCCGAATTCCCGTGAGTCACGCCCGTTGAAACAATCGAGTCGCCTTCCGTATATAGGTGTTTAATGGTGTTCCTTATACGTGCATGTGGCGAGCGTAGTTGGTCAAGGTCTGCGGTTACAGGCAACCGTGTATGACGACTGTGCGTTTGAAATTATTTCAAATATGACGCCGTGATAACCCGAAGGCATAACATGACGTTTTAAGTTCAAAATTTCATGTTATGTCTTCGCCTGATAAATAACTAGGAATCTCGCTCTGGGGTGCCAGTCCCTTCCTTTATCCTCATTGATTATTAGAATAAAATTATTTATGCCATTTTGCGCAACATAGAGATGTATTATTTTTTAATTTTTCATAGTATAACTATGACATTAGAACACAAAACTAAGATAATTAAAAAAAATATCGCTCAAGTACAAAAAAAAACAATGAATAGTCGAACTTATAAACTATCTGTGCCTTAAATAACTAACTACATCGCTTAAATAAAAATAAAACGATTGGGATCTACCAAACATGTGCCTGCCTATCAAAATAAGCCAAGTAAATAAACTTATATAAAAGCTTATTGACGTCTCTGTAAACAAAGCTTTTGAATCTCGCAATCGAACTTTAAATTGAAATACAGTCTGCGATTTGAAAACCGTAAGATATTGATACTTGGCGTAACGACGAACGTTTTACGAAAAAAATGAGACAAAAATATTCCCCCAATAATGGACGCAACTATCCGGTCGGCTGCGGGCGGGTACGTGCGAATTTCGTTATACGTAAATGGATTATCGGAAAAATCTCCGCCGTCGGCCCAGCTGTCGCTCCGCAACGAGCCCAACTATATTTGGTAACATTTATTGAGATGGACACGTAAACACATTCTCTGATAAGCCAATTACTGGTGCCGCGTGTTTACGCCTATTCCAATTTTCAGTTATACTGCCACACTAATCAATCAAAATATACGGGAACATTGCTAAACTTGTACTTGTAACTCGGTTCTCCTCACTTCAGAAAACCGTCATTTATAAAACGATATGTAAAATTAATTTTTGTTGGATACGCAACATTTTCAAGGGGGTCCCATTTTAATTTCATTGGCAATGGACCTTCGATTTCGAAGATTCACCAGGTAACTCCTCAAAATTTAATAGGAAATGTATACTGAGTGATTTTGTTGGTTTTGTTTTTAAAGTAAAACTTCTTAAGGTTCGACTAAGGGGTAACTGAATGCTTTGAACGAAGACAATGCAACGGAAACGCGTTGTGGCGATGACAAGTGTATATAGCATCCGATTTATTTCATGTGTACGTTGTTTGTCAGTATCAGAACTATACATTTAAAATGAAAATATATTTTTTTTTATATTAATACATTAGTTTTAAATCGTAATTTTATATAGATAAATGAACAAAAAAACTTTCGGCGCTGCGGGATTCTAACCTGCGTATTCTGTTTTCGCGCCCATATGCTTTACTAATTAAGTTAAGCGGCCGATTACCTCACGGTGCGAAACACTAATTATCTTGACATCTATGTTCGTTCTATTGCATTTTGAGCAATGCCTGGTGACGTCTAGTGTGCTGCATCCTTTACAGCATACAACACATTACAAATAAAATTCAACAATGAATATTTGTAGGGAGAGAGGTACATTAATAATAAATTAAATTATTTAAATTAAATTTTACTTCAACTGCTTTGTTAAAAAAACCGTTACACGGAACCATTTTTTTATGTTAATAAAAATGTATTCTTATTAGTAATTATAAAGGTAAGGGAAAGAAACTTATCTAATTGAAAATATTTATCTAAGACTTAAGAATGTATATGGAATACTTGGTTATAGAAAAATCTAATTTTATATTTTATATCAATTATAAAGGGAGGGGAAACGTTACTCATAAAATACGAAAGGCCCTAGATTCCTGAGATTTATTGCTTCGAAAGTTGCACCGAAAATTGCTGTAACTTTTTTAAACATTGATTAAGAAGCGTGGTAAATTAATATTTTTCAAAACTCATTTTGATGTGAAAGCTACTAAGATAATGTAAACGTACACATTTGATTTCATATTGTACGCTTTAGCCGATTTAATGAATACATTTTGATAACGCATACGGTGGTCTAGTATGTACTAAAAGTAAAAGATATTTAAACAATAACATCGTATGTTAAGGAAAATATGTGTATCTACAGTATAAAATGATAATTTTGTCAATGATCATAACAAAAGTACGGTAACATTAATTAAAAACCACAATTGAATCACGATTTGACTTTATTTATTTTTTCTAATAATTTTTTCATGTTTTTTCGTAAGCAAATGTAATCATAAGAATTCCCTTTAATTTTCTATAAATCACGTTATATATTTTCATTATTCATGTCGATTATATCATGTTAGTGATGCAATAATGATGGCACCAATAATTTTACAATAATGTGATAAGCATATGCGTAGGAATCAGGATGTGGTTGTGACGAGATAAGAGTATCTGAGCACTGCAAAATGGAAGATCGTGGACATATGCGTGTTATATCAACGTCTTCAAGGAGCATCTATACCTATGCCTAATTGCGTTAAACACTCCCTTTTATACCACACAGTCTGGTGAGTCAATTAAGGACCAAAAAATCAAAAAGTTAAATTTATTGATTATATTGCCTTTATACTACTAAATAATACACAAAAAGCTTATGTGAATCTTTAAAATTTTGAAACGATAAACGTAAAATAAAAAATCATTCGTTTATACAGCATATTGTAAAATATTCAATATAAGCTTTTTTGGCATAAATCATTTTGAAGAAATTTTCAAGGCTGTTTTGTTCACAGATAGTGACATTTAATATCTTTGCATAATACACCAATATAATTTAGTTAACTCGAACATTACATGTAAGCATACTAATTATATCGATTAGAATTCCCGGTATTTTGTGTTTGTTATTATAAAACGATAAATTTGGAGCGTGAACTCTACAGAATATTGCACGTTTAGACTCTACTGCCACAGACATTCGACTAAATTCTAGTTAAAATGATAAATCGTTCAAAATAACCCCGTTGTATAACATCAACAGGATGTATCGTATCAATATTATGATAAGGAACGTTCCAGATGTTGAGAGAAATGCACGAAGAACTTATTTTAGGAAATGCATCCCAGGGTAGCATACATTGTCAAGTGTTGCTTGTTTTATCTCTAAATATTTGGTGTTGGAAACGAAACATAAACAAAACCATCGTGGTACTGACGTGAGATATCAATCAATTCTGTATATAGGATGTCTGTGTATAGGAAAAAACAAACATTACATTATTGTCCATGAATTTACCCTTTTATGTAACAATTATATTAACCTGTGATAAATATGCCAACAAAAAGTAAAGTTAGAATGGAAATATCTGTATTTATAGAAATATAATATGTATAATTCTTCTGTACATGTGTATGTCACTGAACTCCTCCTAAGCGGCTGGACCGATTTTAATGAAATTTTGTGTATGTCTCCAGGTTGATTCGAGAAAGGTTTAGATTCACAATTCGGTCCACATTTTTTTATTTTTTTATTTATAAATTGTTTCAGTCGTGTTTTGTCTGTCGGCTCCGTAAGAATATAATTTGCAAAATATTCCCAAAACATGTTGTCACAATAAAAACTAATAAAGTTTAAAAGGGACAGAAATTACAAAATTAACTCGATGGAATTGTTAGTTATTATACAAATCATGTAATATAATATAAATACTATAATAACCAAAGAAATGTTAAATTTAAAATTACACGCGATTTCGCCCACGTATTTTGTTATCGTAATAAAACATGTAAAGTAAAGTTAAATAAGATAATCAAAAGTAAAACGTATATAAATATAGTAAAAAAATAAGGATAATTTGGTATTTCAGTGCGTAAACCATCTTCTTGCAAATTTCTGTCACGCCGTTGCGGCGTTAAGAAGGATTACGGTAAGGACCCTTAAGGCCCATTTACACGGTGCAAGTTTCTTGCCTGTTATATACAATTAAATTGAAGCAATAAATGAGTTGCATTGTCTAAACAACACATAACATTCTTGACTGTTGAACAAGACTTGCTTCAAGTTTTGTTTCAAAACTTTCCTTGGTGTAAACTGCACACACGAACAATTTCTTAAGCAATTCTTGTATTCAATTGCATTCTCTTTTCCTTTGTGAAAAATTTAAAAAAAAATAGTGCAATGAGTGAGGGTATTTAATCGTGGCTGTTCTTTTGAGGATAGATATATTGAGAAAAGGTCGTAAAAAAGTTGGATAAAAATATGAATCATAATGGATATGAACATATATGGATCATAATAAATAAATCTCAATGAAATATATTTAATCGGCATAATCTAACTTGAACATTTATTATTGAGCCATTGTTTTAAAAAAACAGCCCTTTGTAAAACGTTTAACACTTGCATGAAAAATTTGTCAACGCAAATACGTGCAATACTTGAAGCAACACGCCAATAAATTGTACACGCACATACAAGCATGTGTTTAGACAAGTCAAAACTTGAAAGCAATAATCGCCTAATCATAATTGCATTGGTGTAAACAAAAGACATTTGCAATTATTTCTTGTGAAGACTTGCATACAATAAACGCATTCAATTTTTTTTTACTATATCTGCGTGTAAACTGTTGCTTACAATTCTTGATGGTCAATTATTGCGCGCAATTTATTGCATTCCATTATTGCTCTTGTATGTACAAGAAAATGGCATCGTGTAAATGGGCCTTTACACACAGACTTTCATATATGAATATTAAAACGGCAGCTAACCGTTTCTAGGTATTATAGTAGTTTAACTTTACATGTGAAATGGGTAACATTTCAAAAATATAAGCCACGATATTAAAACATGAATAATCTTAACATTTGATATTTAAAACGTTACTTACCCTTCGCCGAATTCTGTCCGACACTGCTCATCCATCGTGAACACGTAGTTTGTGAGTTCCTTAGCGCCGCCCAACTCAACGCCTTCATCTTGGCTACGTTCGTGCAGACACCACCATTTCCTAAATAATTTTATATTTAAATGATGCTACTTTTAAATAATGTTTCTTGCTACTTCCCACTAAATGATGCTACTTCTAAATAATTTTTCAATTTCAATCCCTAAATGTTAATCGAAGTTACAGTTAACTAACACAACTTTTTAATCCATATTATTTAATAATAGGTTATAAGTCGAAAATATTGGCTCGAATATTAGAAAAGATAAAAATATAACTAACATAATAGAAGGGAAAAACCTTGTAAAAAAAACATTTAAAAAACAATAATATTCCGATAGTTGTCGACATTTTCACCTCCATTGGTCGTTGAGCACAGTAGGCTAAGACAGAGGTTCGAAACACATCGATTTCTATAATCTGTCAAACTCACATTTGACATTCCATGCAGATTAGCACTTAAAAATAAAAACTACTCCTAAAAAAACAATGGAATGATAATATATTACACTCACTTTGACTTCTCATGGAATTGTTCTTTGGAGCAAGAAGACCATGCGAAGTGGTGTAGAGTGGCGAGCACTGTAGGCGCCATTACCGAGCCACGCTGTGACTCAGACAGGCACTGACCCTCACCGTCGTGGGTCAAACCCAACCTAATAAAAAAGAGTTATGATAACCCTCAACAGTTTTCTTATCTTTCTAATAGTATATATGGACGGTCACCCTGACTAAATACAGTACAAAGTTAACAACATAAGTCCCGTAAGCATGGTTGCAGAAAAGTTTTTGAAACAATGGGATTGTAAAAACAGTGAAACGCGTAAGATGTCGGATTTTTAACCGGGGTCGCCACGCAGAAGCTTCTGCTAATGCACGAATGTTCAGGCTCATGCAGGTAAATACAAGGCTCACAGAAGACCGGTATGAAGTGTAAGTATGTACTCTCTCGTTTTCTGGTGAGTGAGGTAAGCGGGCCCATTTTTTTAATGCTTGGCGACGCGTCTGCAACCCGTCAGATGTTGTAGGTGTCCATGAGCAGCGGTAATCACCAGGCGACAAATCAGGTGAACTGCCTGCTCGCTTGCCAACTTTTTAGTTAAAAAAGACAAGAATTTTCAATATTAGTTTATTAAATTTAGCCGGCATCTAGATGTAATAACAAGTGTTTAATTCAAAGAGTTACTTTGGATTAGTAAGTTTCAATTCAAGAATATTGTAGTCCAAATAAACCGTCGAGTGAGCTCTTACTGCTATAGTAAACTATAAGCGTGTGCCATTAATCAAAGCGTATACCACTATCGTATTGTAGCATTTCTGAATCAAACTAAATTTAGCCGATTATTTCGAGCCATCCTGGCCTACCTTTCAATGAACTTAGCCATCTGGATTTGAAACTAGCTATGGTCGTGTATTTAGAATGAAACGTTTACCGTGAGCGCGTGAAACATTACAAACAAAATTTTTATTAATAATATGTGAAAGTAAAAATCTATGTTCATTTGCATAATTGTAGAGTCCCACGTAGAATTCAACTTCTTCTATCTTAATCTAAACTTCTATCTTAATCTAAACCTTTATAGGACTAGAAAAAACAAGGCTCAAAAAAGAAAATTAAATTTAATAGAATTACAAAAAAAACATAAGCGATGTCGCATAAAGTCAAAGGCCTATTGTAGCCATTTCTGCGTATTGAAAATATAATTCCCCATGCGAAAGAGCTCTGCCTTGACGCGTGACACCATTATCTCTCTAACTAAATACGACGTGCACGGTCTTTCCTTAAGTGGGTGCGGCTGCTTTGAAGACAGCCTGCCGTAATTTCGTACGAGCGGAATTAGTTCCACACGCTTTGCGCTCTTCTAGATTTTTTGTACACTGTATGATTACGGCGTAAAATACTTGCATTATTGTGCTGACACATCTTATGAATAAGTAGCATACTTCCAACTGCTCGGACTTTAATTGAGCATCTGGAACGTAGGTCAATCAGCCTTTGACCATGGTTCAATAATCTACAGCGTATGTCGTCGGTATTATTTTTGAAAAACAATTTTCGTAAATATATTAAGCTAAGCAATAGGAGAATTATAATAGAAGTATTATCGAACCACTGTTATTTTTATCTTGTTTATTGTTCTCCCAGTAAAAAACAAGGATTAAGCCTTTTAACGGTTCTAAAGTCTTTTTGCAAGTCATTTTATGACTTATTTTCTGATATTACCCGTAGTTGAGATTCGGTTTACCCTTGGAGGAACATTTAATTCATCCAATTAATCAATTGTTACGAATTCGGTCCATGATAGCTGACGCAAAGCCGCTTCGCTTATTAAGATTTCGGAATTGGCCCAAATGAAATTAAGAATTTGAATCGCCACTAAACGAGGGAATGGCCTTAATCGAGTTTAAAGATAAATATCGCTAGACGATAAGCGGCGTCCTTGAATGGCTCCAACAAGTACAAATCTGTTTATTGAATTGGATTTTCTCTCTGGTTCCCCCGTTAAAGTTTGCACAGAATTGTTACTTTTGGTCCGATTGAGTTAATTTGGAAATTTCAGATAAGTAGATGATATAATTCATTATAATGGATTGACATATAGATAATGAGAATTATATGTAAAATTTCCATATTTTTGTTTTTCAGCCATACTTAAAAAATCGCACCTGAAAATAGAATAAATGTGGTCAAAGCCAAACCACTTCATAGTCACTCAGTGGTGATTTCAATTGATCGAGCCCATAGCTCTCAAATTTATTTAAGATACGAATCAGAATTACTATAATCGAATTTATCAATATATATGAGGCACGAAATCTTGCAAGCCTTAATTTTAAGTTTGAGTAAGTTTTGATTCGAACTTCCCAAAGATAAGTCTTGTTTAAAGTCCAATAATTGCCTACTATTTTATTCCGCTACGAAAGAAGATCTCCGAGGTAATGATAAGGCAAAAATGTTTTAAAATTGCTTTAAAATTATTCACGCTTTTTATTTAGATTTAACTCTAACGGTAACAAAGATTTCTGACGATACCTAGTTTTCATCCCTCATATAATCTAAGATATGAATGAAACTGTGAGGATGTGACACAAAGGTGTCGTAATTAAAGGTAAGCTTGTCGCCGTACACGACAGTACAAACGTGAAATAGTGGCTTTTGAATTTTAGGTACAATAAAAAAACATTAACAAGTGTTATTCACTCGCTTAGGTGTACGATTCATTCATGACGACGGCTTTACTGTTACCAACAACGTTCCTTGCCTTGAGTAATTAACTCTTAATTAAGCTCCACAAAGCATACGTCTTTTTATGTTTTAATACTTACAACATGGAATGGTTTTTTATGTTTCTGGTGCTGGTAATCGAGTACTAAGTATTAGTTGTAAATTAAAACTTTACGCCAATGCAGTAAATGTAAATGAGAAATGGGTAGAATTTTTTTGTGTAGAACTCACATATAAAAAAATAAGACGTATCTAAAATCGTTACCCGGCTGTGTCTCTGGGAAATGATAATAGAATTTTTCAACTCCGCGCAGAAAGGTTGCATCTAAATACAGAGCTTAGTAATTGATTTGTTCTGATTCAAGAAATATCCATCTCAATTACCTATTTTAGACATGAGCTGGCTCGTATCGACCGATGTTATATTTTCCGGTGGGCTCTCCGTTGAATCAGCTTTTACGTGAGATTTTCGTTCGTGTGAAACTTGTATTAATACATGTAGTTATTACAAGCCATTGTAAAATGATAGCTTTATGGATTTGACTGTATTTAACTAAAAGTGAAAACAAAACTGAATTAAATCCATTTCATTAACTTGGTGTATCTCAGCGGCTTTTCATACATTAACATTTCATAAAAACTACCAGTAATTTAATAAACATTGCGATACTACAATAATCAAGCCAAATCTTCATCTTCAAATTTAAAGAAATAAACTTTATAGTTTTGTGAGCACACAAGTTGGACATGCGATTGAATTAGAAACTGAAAAACAGTATAACTCAGCAATTTTGTTCGAATATAAAGAAAGTAATATACTTTAAATATGCAATGAACAAGAACAAATTTATCGCAGAATCGACCACAGCGATGAGTAAACACTTTAGTTCTCAGAAAAGATTTAATGCCAGGTAATATATTTTCCTTCAATCCATGAACCTGCACTTCAAATGATTAATAACATATTTCGCTTTAAATAGATTGATGAAATTGTACATACATAAGGATAAAAATCATGTAAATCGTACTATTGGATGTAGACTTTATAATTATTACTTACTTCATGTTTGCATTTTCTGAGAACATTTACGATAGCAACGTATATTTTTTATACCATATGAAAGTTGGGATTTCAAGGAACAAATTGCGCACCGACTTTTTTTAAAACCTGACATTTTGACGCGAGAATTTTTCACATAAATTTTGAGTTAAAAAAAGTGTAAATATTAAAGTTGTAGGTCTTTTTATTACCTACAACTTTGCCATTTACCTTTTTTCCATAGGCCTTGTAGTTTTGCCGGAAATCGAGATAAACTGTGTTTACCCTTAAAAACTCAACCCCCTGCCCCCTCACTTCCCGAACTCAGATCGCTCGTAATTTATTTTTCCTTTAATTTTTAACATATTCCCTTTCTTTCCCAATAAGTTTCATCGTACTGTATAACGTACATCATTATTTTTTCACTTTTTACCATTTTTAAAGGTTCAGCCCTGGTCTATTATTCAAATAGACGCTTGCGCGTTCATAAGAAACAGTACTAGTACTAACATATACTAGTAGTATTTCCAAGGGCGGATCCAGGGGGGGGGGGGTCATGGGGGTCATGACCCCCCTCTGGGCTGGGCTGGACCTAGGTGGACCATTAATTTAAATTGTTAAACATAATGTTTTTATATATTTTTTGCCACGATATAGATTATCTTCAATATTTAATTAATTTAATATAATATTTTTAACCGAATTCAAAAGGAGTTTCTCAATTCGATTGGTATATTTTTTTTCGATGTATGCACCTCAATTACGTTGAGATTTATGATCCGATTTACGTGATTCTTCTTAATTTTGATGCAGAATAGTTGTCATTTGGTCCCATAAAAATTGAACATAGTTTGGCCAAGTAGTTTTCATTTTATGAACATTTTTACAATATTTTAATGTTTGTCATCAATCATCAAAAATCATAAAAAATCTTGAAAATTAAATTTGATCCACTTCCCGGTTACCGGTACAGCTGAAATTTTGTATACATGTGTAAATCGCGAGATATTACAATATTATTATGACATGGTGCTGATCTGATGATGGAGCTGGAAGGTGGCCAAAGGAACTTCGCAATGAAATGACAGAGCCTCATCGCGTTTGAAAACATTTGAATCGTATTGACGAGTAATTTCTTTTATTGGTAACCAGGATCTGATGATGGAGCTCCATCTTCAGCAGTCCATAGACATATGCATACGGTTGTAGATGCGTTTCCTCCTTATAATAAAGTGGGCCCCGGCTACCTCACTCACCAGACAAAACGCAGAAGTGCTTTACGCCGGTCTTCTGTGAGGCCTATGAGGCTATTCTGTGAGGTCTATGAGGCTATTCTGTGAGGTCTATGAGGCTATTCTGTGAAGTCTATGAAGCTATTCTGTGAGGTCTAT